CATGGTGGAATCTTCTCCTTCTTGCAGAATGTAATTAAAGCCTAGCTCCAGCTTTAATTTCCTTCACTTTGGGGTGAAAAATAAAGGCAGACACACAAGAAAATAGTGTACTTCCTTCTCCTGTTTCCATGTTGCAGGCACGCTCCTCTGAAAACACAGGAAAGGGAATCTTATCCCAAGTGTAGCTTGTGAACAGACACCACCATAACAGACTCTCTGTTGCTTGCAGGACAACCTCATTGTAAAGTTATAGCAAGAAGCTCAGCAAGAACAAGCGCTGGCCTCAGTTTTCACAAGTGTTACTCTTGATCTTCTTCACCGACAGCACTTTGCTGCTGTTAGCATCTGTTTTCCCTTAAATTGTAAGGATAATCTGTTTTTGTGCACTTCCTAGAATTGGGTCATCGTTTTTCACTTCAGCATTCTGCAGTGTCCTTCAGGTTGATCTGTCATCTTCCTTTGCCATTTTTGCTCTCAGTTATTGGTAGAGAGGCAAAATCAACCTATTTGAGTGAATTTACAGGAGGAAAAAACAGATGATTGCTCGTGTAAATAGCTCGAGAACATACCTTTTCACTTGTCATCCAAATAACATTCAGACCGCAAGGCACATCTCTGTGCAATATAAACATGTTCTAAGCTATGGCACAATTTAATTGGAAAATTAGATGTTCCATGTTCCTTGACGGCTGATTTTCCACCAATTAAAAAGTGGGATGAGCTTCATTAGACTCATAACAATGCCTGACAAATCCTTCTTTAAAGGTAATTAATGGCTGAATGGTGGAACATACATTAGTCACCAGCTGATAGCAGTATTTTCTGAAGAGCTTCATTATGTATTTTTCCTCTTTTCCTGAACAATCTGGAGTAGCAATGCCACCCAGCTAACATGAGGCTGAACCATCTTTCATTCCCTGTACCTCCTGCGAGGCTTTGAGTAGGTAGAGGGAATACAGTGAGACTGAGATGTTCCCACGTTGGAATGGGAGGCAGCAGGAAAGATTGAAGGGGTGAGTGGAAGGGGCAGACATAAAGAAGACAAATCGTGACTGATCTCTGAGAAAGTCAGCTGCGTCTACTCAGAAAGGGAGTATCTTTCATACTTCATTGCTAACTGGGATTTGTTTTAGCTGTTAATTTCCCTCTTTTAAACGGTAAATCATATTACTAATGTCCTTTTATGACCATGGAAGCTCCTACAACTCAAACACTTCACTGCCTTTCAGCAGAATGATAGTTCATTAAATTCAGGGCAGTATTTAAAATTTTCAGTATAAGTTTTAAGTGATCAAAATTTGAGGGGGAACAAAAATAAAGTAAATAATGGGTCAGAGTAGTTTCTGTACTTCCCCCTCCTCTGTCATTGTATTCATTGGCAAAAAAAAAAAGGGTAGAAAAGGAAATAAAAGAGAAAATATTTTTGAAAGTGAACTCTCAAATTTTTCAGCTTCAGAAGCTATGTAGAAAAATAAAACACTTTCCACAAAAACTCTGTTTTTTACCATTTGGAAAAGTATTAAACACAGTTTTTAAATACTTGCTTGGGAGCTGTGCTCTGGCCTGTGCTGGATGCCTGTGCTGTTGATGCTTACTGATTCCCTTAGTGGGTTTTTTTTTATTATTTTGGTCTTTATTTTATCTTATTGCGCTCTGGTTTAACAAATGTTCAGAAGTCTGGTGTAGGACATTTTATTCTCTTAAAAAGGAAATGAAAAAATTGCTAAAAAAATAAGAAAATTAAACGTTTATGTGTAATGATAATGGAAGACAGTTGCCTACATCCCTTTAAGTAATATATTAAATGCCGTCAAACATTGCTAGCCTGCTATAATAAAAGCCATCATTTGTTCCTGAGTGTGCCAGTTTATTTTTAGTTTCTCTGTGTAGCAGAATTAGTGCTACTTCATGTTCTCCTGCTAGTCTTACTGGTTCTTCTGAACTTTCCTTTATTTATGATCCCCCCCCCCAAAATATATAAGACAAGTGTCCCCACATAAATATGAAACATATCTTGAAACTTCCATTAGGTTAATACAAAGCATTAATTGCGTGAATGGTGAAAAAAATAGTGCCAGCATTGGTCAAATTTGGTGGATTAGAGATCAAATGTCAAGAGAATAAATACAAAAGGAACTGTATGCTTTTTTATGGCATCTTGGTTTAACTATGTTTTTGTCTGAGCAATTATAGTCTTACTAGTATTATGTATTTCATAAAGCTGATGTAATCTTAGTAGTATGAGATTTTTACTGTAGCGTGGGATTACACTAGTAGATTTGCTCTAGGGAAACAATATTGGCTAAAATATTATCTTTTAGCCAATGATTTCTGGAAGTACTTCTGTATTTTCAGTTCTTAATCTAGAAGCAACTTCCTAGCTTCCCTGAGGTTTTACACAGCTTTTTCCTCTTTAGCAGGCTTGGTGGATAGGGAAGTGAGGATTTAGAAGAGAGAAGGATTTTTTCTTGACATTGCCCCAGACACCTCATAAACTTGGTAAGTTACTTATTGAGTTCAGTTACTTACCGTCCCTATCATCACCATCTTTAAAATGGGGGTAAAGACTGTATTTTGAGAATTTCCCCTCGCCCTCTCTCAAAAACAGATTTAACCTTGCTGTAGAGTGACATCCTGGAGTCTGTCCTCTGGAGCAAGTGGTTTTATCCACGTTTGGCAATTCAGTACAGTAACACAAAACAGGAACAGGATGTCTGCAGTAGCAGATAATGTGAAAATACATATGAATTTATTGTGGAAAAATAAAAAAAAAAATGAAATTCAGATGTTACAAAATCCTGTAAACTTTGCAAATAAGCACTGCCCCCTACTGCTCACAAGTTTTTCATTAAAGTTTATTTGATGGAAAATTAAAGAGAGAAAGTGTCCAAAACAATCTTTTTTTATTTGAAATGTTTGTGTAGGTTTACCTGTAAGAAAAAAACATATTTTTTTTTCTGTTGCTGTATCAGGAGAAAATAAAGAGAAAATTATGGCCACACAAAACATTTAACAGTTCAGAGAAGGAGTAGTTCTGCTAAGAGCTGTTGCTACAGTAGCTGTCAGTGTTGCCAAGGCTCTCAAGCCTGTCCAGCGTGGAGTAGATTGGAGTCATCTGCTCTAGTTCTGAAAGGCATAAGCAGCTCCCACAAAGCATCCGAATGCGTCAATAATACTTGGATCTGATTTATTTGACAACAAAATACCTCCATTTCACTGTAGGTTTGGAAAGCAGTCTTAAAGTGGGTGTACATTTGCTTTAGAGGTAATTCCTAGCCATTTAAGCACTCCATTATGTTGCCAGCATCCAAAGGGATCTTAACATACGTCAGAATGAGGCTTTATTTAGTCCTTAGGACACGCTTCTGAAGTAGAAAATTTAATAGTCCTTATTTTAAGGACAGGGAAATGGGACAGAGCATTTGATGGTCTCACTCTCTCAAGCTTCTATACAACTTAATGCATTTGAGAAGACAGCTCAAATATCTGCAAAATCAGGTGCATGGTGGTCTCCTGATCCTTGGAATGTGTGATAGGGCCATCCCAGGGTGGTATCTTTGAGCAGCTCTTCAATGCCCCATTCACCGCTGCCATTACCTGCACTGCAAGTGCTGAAGTCAGTTTTGTTTCTACCTAAGGACAAATATTCTAGGTCCAGGTAATGTCTGCTAGCTTAAAATAAGTTTCGTAAAAAAGCTAAAAATGATTTTCCTGGGAGATCCCAGAACAGAAAAGCCCAAGTTTTTGTATGAGATGCTGTCCTGAAGAGGAGGAACCTCAGACCTTTTTGTTCAGCAGCCAAGCTGGGGTAACAAACCAGGTGGATTGCAGGTAGCACACAGTGGGGTCAGAATGCAGTGCCTGGAAGACACACCACAGCAAGGCTTGGCAGTTTTTAACTGTTCACAGAGTCACTGCGTGGAGGAAGTGTGAGGAGTAACATTAGGCCCTTTCCTTATGACACCTGCTTAGGCAGAGGAAATTTGGGCCCTTGAGTCATTGGAGGATTTCAGCACAAAACCAACCAGTCAGGGAAAATTAAGTACTAGAAAAGGCTCCCATGTCAGGTGGCATCACTTAAGTGCTGTGAAGATTTCTGGTTTTCTGAGAAAGGCTTTTCCTTACCAGGGAGTGAAAGAAAGAGCTTCAAGCTTTTGGGGGAATATTAGCTACCACAAGATGTGTGTGCTTTTTGTTTTTATTTATTTATTCAATATTTTTGCATGTACTTCTTTTTTTTTTAATACTACTATTTTGCTAAATGCTGGAAGCTGCTGATACTGGCCGTATTTCACTCTAGAAATATATTGCTAATTAGGTATAAATAGCAGACTGTGGGAAGGTACTGACTCTTAGTTGTGCTGCAGCTTTTTAAAATGTGGAGTTGTTGCGGGGGGGACATTAATCAAGTTTACTAGCACTTCTGCAGAATGTTTGCAAATGTATTTTAAGTATAATTAAGTAGCAGAAAAATGTACTGAAATTCTGGAAAGTGCTTGGCTATAAACTGGATATTATGAGATAGTGATTGCCTTGGACTGGCTCTTCTCTCCTTTGCTATGGCTTCTTAAATGCCTGTTTAGAAGGGTGAAAGAAATTTGAGGCCCTTTTAACACTAGTTTAAAGGTTGAGCAAACGACTGATCATTTGTGGCGTGGCTGGATGGGTTTAGCTAGAGAGGCAGTTTGTGTTTTGCCTTCTCTTCCCATCTGTTCCTGCAAGCAGCGTTCCTGTAAATCACCAGGGATGGTTGGAAAGTGCTAGTTCTTCCCTTCAGGCACTAGTGAGGACTCAGCAAAAGCTTAGGAGAGCAGCAAAGCGTTGAAGCCCTAGATCTCTGGGCTGCCATTCAGGAACAAGCTGGGCTTTGTCTAGGGCAGGAGCTTTCCGGAACGCGCGTCGGGATGAGCCGTGGGGAGGTACAACCTGTGACGCTGCCCCGGCACCAGCAATCCAGCTCCCTGGTCATCGGATCCTCTCTCTCCAAACAGGAACATGGGCGACACGGCGCTACCGCAGGGGACCCTGCTCAGGACAGCTCGTTTCCAGCTGTTCAAATTCATTATGAGGAACGAAGCCAGAAGATTGAGAACGTTTTGGCAGTGGCCAGAGAGCTCGCCCGTGTCTGCCCGGGACTTGGCCAAGGCTGGCTTTTTCTTCGTGGGCCCTGGAGATGAAGTGCAGTGCTTCTGCTGCGGAGGCGTCCTGAAGGACTGGGTACCTGGCGATTGCCCCATCATAGAGCACCTCAAGTTCTTCCCTTCCTGTAAATTCGTTTGCGGTGAGGACGTTGGGAGCCAGCAAGTGTTTGCTTTTGAGGAAATATTTGACTGCGTGGATGGGCAGTTCCTCAGTTTCTTGCAGAGGATGGACAGTGAGGAGACTGCCCTTCCCAATCAACCGGAATACCCAGAGCTGGGAACAGAGGAGATGAGACTATCTACTTTTGAGAGCTGGCCACAATACAGTGAGGTGCATCCTGAGCAGCTGGCTAGAGCAGGATTCTTTTACACAGGTAGGTGCTTTGGGGAAAATCACCCTCAGCATAACACTCTAAATCTAATTATGGATTTATAGATCCTTTATGGGAATCCCTAGCTGAATCTTCTGTTGGAGCATCAGGTGCTGAGAAGAAGTGCTACCCCATAGCCAGAGCTTCCAGTTAGAGGATTTGACTCTGCTTGATGCAAATCTTGCTCAACTTGTCCACTCTCAATGACAGCTTGCTGTGTGCAGTTCATATAAGCTCTGCTATGCACCACAGCCTTCTCTTCTCCAAAGCCCCCATAAAGCTGAGCTAAATTTTAGATATTTGTCCCATTTAGCTGTCATGGCTTGTTGTTGCCATGAGGATTCCTGACTTGCATTACAGAACTAAAAGATATTACATGTTTCCTCAGAAATGTGTTTCTTGTTTAGCCGAATTTCAGTTGTTTCCCCTTGAGGAGGGTTTGCTGGTTTTGAGTAAATGCTGCTTACTGGGTTGAGCAGCCAGAGCAAGTAATTACAGTGTATTAATTCCAAAGTGTAATTAAATATTGGCAGGGAGAGCTTCCTTCTGTGTTTTGGGCATCTCCCCTGAGCTGAGAAGATAGGCACAATAGCAGGTTGGATTGTTTGGGACCATGTTGTGGTAAATCCTTTATATCTATGGAACAGAAGCTGGAGAGACTGCCTGGATAACCAGCAGCTGATTATCCAGAGTAGCAGCTTGTGATGTAGGAAACCAAGTCTGTGGATATAACTAATTAAAGCATTTACTCTAAATGCAGATAAGAGGGGTTCAGTTGGCAATGTGTGTATGGGAAATCTGTGGTGCTAGCAGGCATGTTACTCTTTAGCTTGTGACCCAGTTCTAGAATAGTCTCACCTAGCCACAGCTCTGGGATAGTTCAATGCTCTCATCTGATTCCCTGCCCCTAAACAGCTTGTCATGTGCTCATCTGTTCTGTCCCATGGCCTAGATTTTGTACTGAATTTTGTACTGAGTCTTTTCCTGTATTGTGTTTCTGGGAATCGTTCCTATGCTTCTGTGATTTTTATTGTTGTTATTATTTTCCCCTTTCAGGACAAGGTGACATGGTGAGGTGTTTTTACTGTGATGGAAGTGTAAGAAACTGGGAACTTGGAGATGACCCTTGGAGAGAACATGCAAAATGGTACCCAAGGTAACTCTGAAGAGGTTTATTGTCACATTTTCTGTGACTTGTTCCAAAGAACACTGCAGCTGAGCCAAACATGAAGACCAAATTGAGGGGGAACCGTGAGCTGCTTAATATTGCCCTCCTTCCTGCAAGGACAGGAAGACTATGATAATCCCTCTTCCTTACCCAACATATAGCAGTCTGTCTGTAAACTGGTAGCACCCCTTGCTTTTAAACCTCAAACCACTACTACTGCTTTCATTTGGAAAGAGCCTGTACTAAATTGTTTGCATCTTTCTGCCCACAGGTGTGAATTTTTGTTGCGATCAAAAGGAAGAGAATTTGTTAATGATGTTCAGGAGTCCTTTTTCAGCACTCTGGTCTCTCCAGTGAGTCATATGTCTTGTGGGTAACAGATGGGAGTTTGGACAGTGCGGAGCTTTGAACAAGTGCTTCACTTAAGTGAATATCTTGTCATGTTTTCAGAGACATTCCTGGCACCAGGCTGACCAAGATTCCTCTGCTTCCCAAGGTGGGTGCTGTGTAACTGCCTGGTGTTTTGCCTTCTGCTTCTGTTCTCACCTCAGCTTCTGTGTGCTCTGTAGACTTGGTGCTTGAGAGATGTTTTGATGTTCTAGAAGCTGTTTCTCATTATTTTTAGGAAGTGTTTTATCACAAGAAGAAAAGTACTTAATCTTGTGAGATTTTTTTTTTTTTGGCATATGTATCTGAATATATATAAATATATAAACTAGCCAAATGTCTTTGATTAAGAAAAGTCTTGTGGCCGTTTTCTAAACTTTCTTTGATTTGTCCATGTTTGTGCTCATTTTGTCTGTCTGAAGAGTGTTGTCAGACTATAGCATTTGACTCAGACTTGGTAAGAGACCTGAGAGTGACTAGAAGGTTCAGCTGTTTGTAAAAGTGTTGATCCTGAGCACTCATTGCCACTCATTGGCCGCATCTGGAAACTTAAGTAGGGTATAGCTATATGTATATATCAATATATAGATGTTGCTGTCACTCTGTGTATATCAGTTGCAGGAAGTGGCATATTGTGTTGCCCCCAAAGTTTCCCCTTTTTGGTAAAGTATCTGCTCACTGCTTTACAGATGCGGTGAGAAATGGGGAATTACAGTCTCTTCCTGCTCTGGTTGAGTCTTCTGTAGTGCAGAACATCCTGCAGATGGGCTTTGACCCCACTCTGGTGGCTAACCTGGTAGAGAGTAAATACCTGCTGACTGGGACTCGCTACCTTTCTGAGTCTGAGCTGATTTCTGAGCTGCTTCAGACAGACTGGGAAGGGAGCAGCGGTGCAGAAGCAACAAGAGGTATGAGCCTGATCACCTATAATCTTGGTGGTGGTTTAACCTCTTATTTTAGGCATGGTTGTGAACTTGTCTTGCAGGTCTGCATGCTCTCTTCCTAGGCTGCAGTTAGGTGTAGTGATGTTCCAAGCCTGCCTTTCTTTGAGAGGCTGCAGAATGAAATTGTTTTCATGGTGCCCAAGGAGGCTGCATTTACTGGAATGCCAGTGACTATATCAGTCTCAGATAGGGTGTGATGTGGATATTCTTCTTCAGTCTTTTCTGCTGCCCTTAACTTACCTGTGTTCGTTATCTGTTCTGTGGACTCTTTTTGTGCAATTTGAGGCTGAAACTGAACATTATACGCTTACATTTTTTTAGGAGCAAGCCTGCTTTCCAAAACTCTTGTCTCCATGTGACAGGCTATCCAGCTCCTTAGCTACATCAAGGCAAAAAGTAATCATGCAGGAAAAAGCAGATGAGGGTTTCCCCTGTCCAGTAGAACTTAAATCAGCTTCTCTGGGGAGAGAATGCAATATAGACATACACTAACCTCCTTCCAGGGGTGTGCAGTTTGAGACATTAGCTAGACCAGGCTGTATTTAGTGTTAACAGCCCCATGAAAAGGAGTTTGATCAGAGGCTAGTGAGATCCAGGATATTGCATCTTTTTAAGCACAGCACTGTCTGAAGAGGGAGGAAAGTGGTAGTTCTTTAATGTATTTTTTCCTTCCTTCCTGTTTATGCAGATCCTGTTCTGAGAGAGAGTGAAAGATCATGTTCAAGAGAAGAAACACAACCTGTGCAACAAAAAGAATCAGGTGCACTGGAGTGATGCTGGTGGGGAAATTAGTCAAAACTAGAATAGCTCCCATGACAACAAAACTAGTGCTCTTTATGTTCCTTTGTTAATTCTGCAAATCAATGTGTTCTAGTTTGCATGGTGACTGAATGCTGCTTATTCAGGAATTAGGGTTCTGCTGTGAAGCATACCAAAAATGGACTTCTCTGGGATAAGTTTCATTATGCAGTATAGCCATGTTTGTCCCACCCGGCTAGTCCTGCATGTGCAGATAAATGTGAGTCAAGGGTCTAGAATAGCTGTATGGGGGGTTTCAGTTGAAAACCAATTACCTGAAAATGCTGCCTTTGCCATTTTCAACCCCTGAACAAGTAATCTGTAGGGATGTGGCTTCTGGAGATCACAGGGTCCTCACTTTGGAATAACCCTATTGCTAACGCTTGGGCCTTTCTCCCTTCTTTTAAAGGTGAGACTCCCCTGAGCACAGAAGAGCAGCTCCGACGCCTGCAAGAGGAGAAGATGTGCAAAGTGTGCATGGACAGAGATGTGTCTGTTGTCTTTGTTCCTTGTGGCCACCTGGTAGCTTGTGCAGAATGTGCCCCCAACTTGAGACTGTGTCCTATCTGCAGAGCAGTCATCCGGGGAAGCGTGAGGACTTTCATGTCCTGAAGCAAGAGGTATTTGAGGGGAAAAATAGCCTGTAAAATCCAGTGGTAAAAAACCAAATGAACAAAATAAGTAACCGGTTCAACTCATGCTGGAGCAATCTCATTTTCGAGGTAGTCTGGCTACCTAAATGCAAGTATTAACCAAATTTAAATGCATTTCTTTGCACAGTGCCTGCTGTGAGAGTTGCTCATAGGCTCTTACTGACCTTGCTGGAAGATTGCTCCAGAAAAACTCTGCTAGTTTCTTTTACCCACCAAAATGAGAGTCTTCTGTTGATAGAGATTATCCTCCTCTGAAGTCTTGCATATTCAAATGAATCCAGCTTTGTATTGAAATCAAGGGCTGTTTTCAGTGGACTGTCTCTGATGATTTTTCTTCCATTTAACAGTTGCTTAGAGATGATGAAAATAATTAGCTTTATCCTTCCTGAGTTGATACTTTCCTTCCATAACTAAGTGAAATTTAGGCTACTTTTATAACAAACACACTCCTTGGACTAGAATACCGAGCAGTGTGTGTTGTGGGGAAAGCAGTGGGTGGTTTTTATTTCTGTTTGTCCTGATCTCTTGGCTGTGAGGGGGAAGAGGCTTGGACAAATGAAACCTTAAATGAGCTGTCTAGTCAAACTGTTAACAACTGAGAAATATTTCAGTAATCGATGAATTTACATAATTAAGTGAAAACTCTAATCTGTTTGTAGAGTTTTCCAACCTGTACTGTCAGCATGATGACCTTTGCTACCCAGAAGGTGGAAGGCTCTTAGATCTGGGTTCCTGGGTGGTCTCCTGCAAGTTTGCTGTAAAGCCTCTCTCCTGGCTATCAGAGACTGTCCTGCTGGAAGACAGTTGTGGAAACTTACCTTTTTTTAGAACTTGTCTTTGCTGGCTAAACTGATGGCTCTTAGTTCAAATGTGGTATTTTATCATGTACCCCTTTCCCCCCAAAGAAAAAGACAG